TGCTTGATCCGTGCACGCTCCTTCTTAGGGAAGAGCTTCCAGCCTGCAGATTTCAAGATGGATGACTACATTCGTATAATTTGAGGGCACGGGAGACAAGTTGGGACATGAGAAAAGCAACGATCTGACGCTCTGACACCGAGCGTTCCGACGTTCAGTAAAAGCAAGTCAGCCGACCGTTCCCTGGGCCGCTGCTGCCCCCTAGCGGGGAGCCGCGCTTCCTCCCGCTGCGCCGGCCTGGGCATCTGAGGGGCGCAGGGCCCAGCCTGAGCAGACCAGGCATGCCCGCCTCCCTGCTTGAACCCATCACTCCCGAGACGCATAGAAGCTTCTGGAAGTTTAGCGGGAGTTGCTTCAGATGCTCCTTGTTCTACAAGGTCGATGTTCTTTTTCCCAGACTCAGTTGGAAAAAGACACCCGGAAGGTGTGGCCAGGGCCCCCGCCTCGGTCCGCGACGGCAGAGTTCTCACCACTGTATGGCGGTGTCCCCGCTGTTCCGTCCCAAAAGCCTCGGTCCCCAACGCCAGCGCCCCAGCCCACCGCTACCGCGTAAGCTGTGTGACCTCAGGACAAATGACTAGCCTCTCTGAGCTTCTGTCTCCTTATCCACACAGAGTGATAGCGCATAACTTACCGGCAGTCCTGAGAAGTTTTGTGTGCCCCGCCCCCCATACAGCAGAGGAGCATTGCTCAGGCTGAGAGTCGGCGCCCCCTTTCTGAATGCTCCACTTAAACTCCCTGGGGGCGCAGTGGGTTAAAGCACAGCACCAAGAGGCTAAAGCCACTTCAGCAGGAGTTCGATCCCCACCCCGGAGGTGACCACATGACTTGGCAGACCTCTCCTGACCTGCCCACTGCTCCCCTCAGCAGTGTGCTTCTCAGTCGGCCTGTTCTGCTCCCCACTCTGTCTCTGGTAAATCCTCTCACCACCCCTGCACCTCTGACCTGTACCCCAGTTCTGTATGCATGAATAGATAAATCTTCAACAAAAAAAATAGTGCACAAAGCGCTTGCCTTCAGAGGAGCCAGATGCACACCCACATACCAGCCTGGTGTAATCTTGGTTCTTGGAGTTGTCCAAGCGAACCCCTGCACTCTCGGAGCTGGGCAGGAGCCAGGCAGGAGCCAGGCATTCGCCCAGCCGCTGCCCCAGGGCCGGGAGGCTGCAGGGGCTGGGCCCTGTGATCCCCAGCACCCAGGCTCCCTGCTCACACTCTCCTGGGGGCACCTGACAGATGCCTGTCCCTTGAAACCTCATCGGCACCCTAAATTCAGGCACGGTGGGAATTTGCAGGAAACTAGGCTTTCTGTTGCGAGTTGCACTTCCAGCAGGGTGGTTTTGTCGTTGCTCTAAAAAATGAACCTGTGTGAGGGCCGGGCCGAGGGAGAGTCTCTGTGTGGGCACCGGAATGTCCTCGTAGGTGGTGACAGCGGTGACTCGTGCCAGCTCCCCCGGGGGTGTGACGGTAATGTTGCTGGGGACAGCTGGTCACCCGAAAGCCTGTTAGGCACGAGGAAGAGCCTTGGCCACTCTGGTCCCTTAAACCCAGACACTCAGGCACAGAAGTTAATGTGCCCAGCCCACGGTTCCTGGGCCCGGGGGCTGGGGGCTGGGATGGGGGGCCAGTGTCTCTCCTGGTGGCTTATTGGAGGTGGGGAGCGCTGTGTCACCTTCTCGATGGCACCGAGGGTGGGGTGCTCTTCTCCGAGACTCGTCGCTTCCCTCGGGTCACCGGGAGTACCACGGGACGTGGTCAGAGTCAGGGTGTCTGTGGAGGCGTCCTGACATTTCTCTGGTCCCCTCTAGTTCAGGGCCACCCTGTCCAAGCCCCCTCCCCCGCCCACCCCACAGGAACCTGGTGGACAGCAGGGGGCAGCACTGGGCTGCTGTAGGGCTTTCTCTCCTGGACCTTGCAGCCTGTCAACACCAGCAGCTTTTAGTCCCTGACAGACAGCCTCTTCCCGGTCTGTTTGGGCAGGATGCTTGCGCTGCCATTGCTAAAGGGAGAATCACAGCCAGCTGGGAGGAGGCAGGAGGCAAACTCAGAAGCACCTTTCTGTGGCATCCTCACACCGCTAAGGCTCTCCCTGGAGACCCGGGGCTGAGCTCTGGGTGCGGCTGGGTTTGGGTTTTCTCCTCAGATATGTCTGACGTGAAAAAGGCGCTTCCTGGTGTGCGAGGGCCTCCTTCGTCCTCCCCAGGGCTGGCTGGCCTTTGAAAAACAGTCAAGAACACGTTGCTAGAGGCTTGACGTCTCCCTGAGAAGCGGCTTAAAACGGGGCCCACAGAGATTTCCACCGAGGGGAAATGTGCTTCACACAAAATAAGCGCGTCTTACCTCTTCCCCTGGTTCTGGGGTTGGGACTGATCAGGGATTTTTGAGGGGGAGGGAGGCGGTTTGGGGCTGGGGCTGGGACTGACGCACTGTGGGAGCGGCCATTTTGAGACACTAGAACTTCTAGATTCTTCCATTTCCCAGAGCAGCAATTCACAGGGGAAGTTCAGCTCCATGTATTCTTACGTTCCTGTGACAGACTCTACATTCTGAAAAGGGTCCTGGGGGAGCAGGCCCGGAGTCTGAGGACCCCAGGCGGGCTCTCTCTCGGTGCTTCTCTTCTGTGAGGAAAGAATTCAACAAGGAGACCCAAGTTCCGGGAAAGCAAGAGATTTACCGATAGGTGGGGTAAGGACAGAAAGCTGTCTGAGTGGAGAGGGGTCCCGAGTGGAGAGCTGACTGAGGTGACGGGAAGCCAGTGCTTCCGGTGGGCGAGGAGGGGGCTTGGCCCCCGGGCATGTCTGCGTGGTCTCCCTTGCTGGGTGGCCGGGCTCGCGGGTCCCCGAGGCTATCGGAGCCCATCGGCTTCCCTCATTTCCCAGCCAACCTTTCTGAAGCAGCTTTGGCGTTGCTATTGTGTTATCATGTGGGTGTTCTGAACATTTCCTCTTTTAATTGAATCGGGGGTTGGGGGCGCCTTCATGGTGTGTGATTGCTTCTCAGTCAGGCTGATAAATGGATCTGGGGTTTGGCGCAGCCTGCTCCTAACTGCCTGCCTGGACCTATTCCTTAGCTTCCTCCTTCAGCCCCTTCCTCCGTCAGACAGCATTCGCTCCAGGCCATCTTGAAATCACTGCTTTGGGGTTCTGGCTTCTGGTTCGTGACTTTTTCCCTGAGTGATTAGAACCGCTGTGCCTCTGCCTGGTTTTCCTCCCCACACGTCAGTGAACACTTGTTTGGCTGAACCCTGAATCCCATTCCCGAGAATTCTGCTTGGTACATAGAGAAGGCGCTCAGAGATGTTGGAGCGAATGCCTGAGTGGCTCTGTGGAGCTCAGAAGCACGTCACGTGAGTCAGTCTCCCCTGTGCACAGGCCGGAACTAGGCTCACTGAGCTCAGATTCTCGGGGATCCAACCCCTCGCCTCCCCTGGCCTCCGCGGGCCTCTGTGGGCACCTACTCCTGCTGCCTGTGTCCTGCCACGTCGGACACAGCCACAGGTTGGCGTTGCGTCGACGGGCAGCTCCTTGAGGGAAGGGCCACGCTGTGGCTTTTATTATTATCCCCAGCTCCTGCGAAATGATCAGCGTTCAAGGGATATCCACCAAATTGAAATTCTATTAAATACAGACTGTAGCTTTCGCTTGGGCTCAGTGCTTTTCCCAGAATGATAAGGCTGATGCAAAATTGCAGGTTCTCTGGCCAGCAGATGCCACAGTCATGTGCCTCACACCATCTTCTCAAGTCCTGAGGGGAAGCTGAGTCCTGAACTCCCGTTACAGCAAAAAGCAACTCCATAACACAGGGAAGCAGCAAAACTGAAATTAATCGACACCTAATTAAATGTCCTGCGGACATGCCAGCGCGTCAGCTTTGTTATTTGCTGAATTTCGGCCCGTAAATATTTAATTATATTTGAAAAGTGCTTGTGGCTCTGACTTTTCTCACTGCACAAAAATTCCTGAGTTTGCACGAGGAGTGCTGAGGAATCCCAGCCAGTCATACATTAACGAATTACATAAAGCCAAGTAAATGCGACACTGAACTTGAGAAAATTCTTTCAGAAATGCTTATGACAGAAAAAATATTCAGTGACAGATAGCAACATATTTTAATACGTTCTGTAAGATGGGGCCCATTCTAAATAGTGCCGTGGGCCCTCAAAGGTGAAGCAAAGACTGTCACGCGTGGGGCCCGCTGGGGGGGGTGCTGGCGGGGGTGGAGAGCGCCTCGGACAAGGCAGAAGAGGACCCCCGGGGGCTGGGGGTGGGGACTGCTCAGAAGAGGAGGACTGCAGAAGCAGCTTCCTGGCCGGCAGCGTGTTGGGTCGTGAGCGCTCTGGGGTCAGCCATTTCTGCCCGCACCTGCTGGTCTTCCACAGGCTGTTGCAGGCCTCTGAGGAGCAGCTCGCGGCGTTGCAGGCGGCCGAGAGAGGAAACCGCCCTGGGTTTGCTGCTGCTGCAGCCCGGGGAAGGCAGAGACCTGGCGCCAGGCGCCTCCTCAGCTGCTAGCGTGTGGCCGTTTGCGGGTCTCAGGCGCTGCAGCTGCAGTTTTGAGTGCCGCGTGTCCAGTGCTGCATCCCCTCTTGTGTCTTCTGCCTTTGTGACCGAGTCTGGCTGTCAGTGTCAGGAAGGCGCCACCTTGGGGCGTGGCCTATTGTTAGGGGCCGCAGCTCAGCCTGCTTCATGGCCGGGAGAGGCCATCTTGGGAGTGCTTGCCTTTAGGACTTTTAAAACACTGGACATTGCTCTGGGTGAGAAAAAGGCCACTTGTCGCCTCAGCGATGCTTTGCTTTCCCTGGTTTGTTAAGTCCCGTTGTTGTTCTCTGAACCTGAGGGGTCTTGCAGTTGTGCACATGGGTGAAGAGCTCAGGGAGTGACCGGCAATCTGTTTGGGCACTGTCCTTGGCCACTTGCAGTGCCCCTTGCTGCCCTGTATCATCTTGACAATCTTGCGCATTGCAGGGCCGCGTGTTCATCTAATCTTTGTTTTGTCTTCTTTCAGGAATCCTATTCACGATGCTGGTATTTGGACCAGCCTGTGGATTTATCCTGGGCTCCTTCTGTACCAAAATCTATGTGGATGCCGTCTTCATCGACACAAGTAAGGAGCATGCCCCGGGCCTAACCGGTGCCCACAGTGCTTCTCCCCTCACAGAGGAGGCTTCCGCCTCCTCATTCCAAAACCTCCTGAGTAAACAGTGTGCTGCTGGCCCCCTGGGATCGGAGAGCCTGGGCGTGGCCGGGACTCCAGGGGCCTGCTGTGTCCACCCTGAGGCTGGGTAACTGGGGTTTGTTCGCTCGCATCAGAGTCGTCTTCATTTGGAAATGTAAGGGTAACCGGCTGCTTTGAGAGTTAAACGAGCAGTGAACCTGGCAGTCCCTGGCCAGTGCGTGTCAGTGGGTGGTGGTCCGCTGACCTGTGGCGAACCCCCCCCCCTTCTGGAAGTGTGCGGAGGCACAGTGAGACAATGTGCAAAAATCCTTTCCATGGGACACGGTCTTGGGGACTTTCATAAGGCAACATACTCCTCTCAAAACATTTCAGGCGAAATTAGTGTGTTCTTAGCAGGGAGAGCCAGTGTGTTTCTGGGGTTGCTCTGAGTCCCTGATGGTAGCCCACTTAATCAAACGGTTGCTTGTCAAGTTGTCGAGGTCTTGCCCTGCCCACAGGTACCCCACAGGGCTCTCCTGGAGCAGACACCCCACGGGGGGTGCGAGGGAACCCTAGACAGGAGCCACAGTCTTTTGATAATCAAGTCTAGCAGTGACGACCCGGGGCACGGGCTGCATCGGTAGCCTGGACGCCAGCAGCGGGCTCCAGCCTCCGCTCAAGAAGGGCTCTCGCTGGCGGGCAGGGGAGGCTGCAGCGCCACGCACGCCCAGCAGAGGGCGCCACGACCCCGTGAGCGGCTCGGCTGTGTCCTCCCTCCCCCACGGCCACGCCTCCTCGTCCCACCCCCATCTCAGGATCAATGCAGACTCAGTCCCTGGGCTCTCAATCCGTCATCTCGCCGCGGTGCTAAATTTACGAATTTGCCCCAAAGAAATAATGTGGTTTTAAATCCAGTCAAGTCACTGCGATTCTCTCCATTAACCCCGCTGATATATTTACTTGTAGCTAATGACGGTACAAATTTCCAAGTGGACAAGGAGGAAAAAAAAGAAATCAAAGACAACCTTCCTCATGCATTCGTCGGGCGCAGGTCTGATGGGGGGGTGGGGGGGCTGCTGTCGCTCGGCTGGCGGGAGCCCAGGTCCTGGTGGCCAAGGGGCCTGCTCCCGAGAGCGACAGGTGACACTTGCCCACTGCGTCTCGTGTCTGGGGACCCGAGGCGACTTCCCAGGCTGCGGGAGAGCAGGCAGGGCGGGCCGGCCCAGGGAGCCTGCTTGGAGCAAGGACGGCGCCTCCCGCACCTCTGAGCCCGAAGAACCTCTGAGGCCATCCCGGTCCAGCCCTTCATTTTACAAATGAGGAAACTGAGGCTGGGGGTGGGGGGATGCGCCCGCTGCCCAGGCCCCAGGCCCCCGCATGCCCTCAGGCACCTCCCTCCGCGCCTCCTGGCGACTCCCTCCTGGCGTGGATCAGCTCAGAGGCTGGCGACCTGGGAGTGGACAGCTGGCCGGAGGGTGCCGCGGCCTGCCCCGCTCTGCCAGGACTGTCCCTCGCCCTGGAGTGCGGCCCACCCAGTCCAGCACCTCTCCTCGGCCTGCGAGGCCCACGCCGCCTCCAGCACCCAAGTCAGGTTGGGCGCGCCCCACCCTCGGGCACGTGGCGGGCGGCAGCCACCCCAGGGCGCTGGCCTCGTCGTGGATGGGCAGTGCCTCTGCGTGTGGAGCCGGCGGTGATGCCCGCGAGTCTTTGTCTGTGGCCTGGGAGGGCTAGAGCCGCTCTCGCCAGGAGAGGGCAGCAGAACAGCGCCGCCCTCAGCCTGCCGGCCTCGGGATTCAAGTCACAGGGCGGGAACTCGCTCTGCGTGTGTGGACTGGGTGTGTTGTACCGCGCGTGACGGTCTCCTGTCTTCCCCCAGCTAAGACAGCTCCCTCTGTGCGACTGGCCGGCTGTGCTCGGGCCCCCAGCCGTGAGCAGCCCCCAGAGAGCCGGGCGGGCGCCGGGCGCGCAGTGTGGAAGGGAGGCGGCGGGAGGGAGGCCTTTGTCCGGGGCAAGAGGGGGAGAAGGTGTCTCCCCCTGTGGCCTGGCACGCTGAGGCAGGGGTTGAGGACCTGGGGGAGGCCAGCGGCAGCCTGTGAGTGGACGGAGCTGGGTGTGCCGGCCGAGGCCAGCTACGGGGTGGAAAGACCCGGTGGGGCGCCCCAGGAGGCGCCTGGCTGCGCTTAGCCAAGGCTTCTGCTGCTGTGGCTGCCGTTCCGTGGGGCCTGGCCCTGTGGACCTCACTTCTCCCGGGGCGCAGCCGCTGGCTTGCAGCAGCCGGAAGGAGCGGCGCGCCCCCAGACAGTGATTTTCAGAGAAACTTTGGGTTGCGAGCGGGACCCAGAGGAAGGGACCTGGTTGCAGAGTGTGCCGAAGCCTGGAACAGACCCCATGCCAGTGTGGTTCGCCAGGGCAAGGTGTCTGGTCCTGGCAGCCCAGACAGACCTCTGGGTGCAGCTGCGGCGGACCCCGTGGGGCCTTGGAACACTCCCTCAGGTGCATGTAGGACGGGAGCTGGGGCCCCGAACCCCATCTCCACGAGAATCCCAGCCGCACTTCCTCCCAGCTGTCTGGGGACTGCCTCCTCCTGGGTCTGATCCCGGACGACGGGAGCGAACCCCACAAAGCAGCACCGCCCTGCCCGGCACTCCAGGGGGAGCCCGTGGAGGTGCCAGCGGCCAGCGCATCTCACGGGCCCAGGCCCCAGGCCTGCTGCTCCCAGGCAGCTGCTTGCGTCCTCGAGGGCTCCCCAGGACGCCACCCGTCAGGCCGCCCCTGCGGGGGACAAGGCCTGGCAGAGATGACGCCTCATGGGCTGCGCCCAGTGGCATTTGTGGCTGGGGTCGAATGCGTCCACCTTTTGACCTCACAGGGAAGGTCAGCGAGCCCAGAGCCCCCGGGCCGGGTCTCCAGAGCTGCTGCCCGCTCGGCTCCTCCCATCCTCAGCCTGATCAGCGCAGGGCTGGGTGGGACCTCCCGCGCCCGCTCCAGTTTCTAATTAGGACTGTCACTGCACGATACTCTTGGAATCATCGAGTCCCGCAGCAAAAGTCACAAAATAGGTTAGACAAATAGGTAAATGGGCTGGGGAGGGGGGTAAGAACAACTGTCCAGAGAGCTGTCTGTCACCGTCACGGCGCTTCTCAGTCTTGGGTGTCCTGGGCGGGAGGCGGGTTTTAACAGAAGGTCTGAGAAAGGGCGGGAAATGCCCTGTGTGTGTCTGACCTTCACCCAGCGCTGACTCAGTTTACCCAGCAGACGCAGACTCAGCTCAGCTGTAGTGCCAGGGAGGGAGGGCGAGCAGCTGGATTTCCTAACGAGAAGCTCCCCCCCCTCCTCCCCCCCCCGCGGCCTCCGTTCTCCTGCCGTGAGCCAGGGGCAGGCCAGTGACTGGCGTCATCACTGGCCTGTTCGGAGCCCTCGGATGTGTGGGTGGGCTCTGACGGGCTTGCGTTTTCCAGCGCCACGCCCTTGCAGAAAGCCCACGCCTTTGTGTCGCTGCGCGCAGCCTCCAGGCCACCCGGGCACCGAGACAGGCCCGAGTCGCTGCCCCGGACGAGCCCGCTGCCGGCCCCGGGAGCCGCGCTCCCGCCCTGGGTAGCTCCGGTAGAAGGTGTCTGTTCTGCCAACGATGGAGCTGAAGCTCCTTTGCCCAGTGTCACCTGCTCGTGAGGACCAGGGCTGCGACCCAAGCCCAGGCCTCATGCGCGCCCGCTCGCCCCTCTCCAGGGTGTGACCACCCAGAGGCTGGGCCCTCCCGCCCTGGTTTCTGCAGCTGGTCCGTCGTGCAAGGCCCGGGACAGAACCACCGCTGCTCCGAGGCTGACTTGCCTGGGAGACTCGGTCGTCTGGGCCTGGTGCACCCAGCACAAGCATTCCCACCCCAAGTCCAGACCATCGAGAGGGGCCAGGCCCGGGCTGCAGTGCACCCTGGACTTCTGGAGGCCCGTGAGCCCGGGCCCGGCGCCCAGCCTCTCTCTGTCTATGTGAACAGGGATGATGAAAGACACGCGCACCTCAGGGCTGCTGGAGGGTCGCTGGATGGCCGAGAGC